CAAAGGTGGTGCGGGAGGCGTTACTTGTATGTTTTGGGGTTGTCCGTCCCTCCGTCCTGCTTTCTCGTTATTGCGATATCTCAAGAACCAGTTGAGGTATGAATTGTAAACTTGGTGATAGCATGTATCACCATAGGAAAGATGGCCTGATTAGATATTGGAATAAGTAGGTCATAGATCAGAGAGGTCAATTTGGCAAATTACAGCTATCATTCAGACTCGTTATCGCAATATCTAAAAAACCATTAGAGGTATGAGACAAGTGATCAGATTTTATCGGACTGTCAGGTCAAAGGTCGTAACAATCAATTGACATGTAATTCAAACCATGACCTTAACTAGTTTTAGGCAGAGGCATATTGGAGAACCAATCACTTTTGTCTTGTTTCATTTTAATCATGGACCTAATCTTAGGAACTGTTTATATATCAATGCTGGAAGGTCAAGTGACAAACAGAGTTTAGCTTGTGTATTGCTTTTTATTTTCTTGGGCGATACTCCGTTTACAGAAAGACAAATTTTACCAACTCATTAAGAAATGCCATAGTATCAAAGTTAATCAATATTTTCAACCCGGTAATTTATTGGCATTAGCCCTTTCATAATTTTCATTGGAGACTTGGGGGGGGGGCCTTGGGGGCCTGAGCTACTTTCCCTTTGTTTTCTAAAAATACCACTTTTCTTTTAAAGGAAAAACTTCATTCATTCATTGCTTGTGTTAGCAATTCTGTCATGCCTTGCCTTGTGTTTCTAGCCGATGTGCATCTGACATTTGTGAGATATAGGTTCCACTTTGTTGGACAGTTGAAGCTTCGGAAAAGTTGTATTGTTTTTCCTTTTATAAAAAAGTTTTTAGGTTGATGAGATTATCATTTTTCATTATGCTTTTGTTTTGAAGCTCAGTTTATATCTATCAGTTTGTCTCATCCATTATTTTGTACATTTGGGGGTTGTACCCCATCCCCACCCCATCTGTACATAATACAGAGAAACATATTTTTTCTCTCTCTTTCATCTTCATTCTATCTGTTCATTCATTTATATTTTGTTTATCCGTCTTTATTTTTCTCTTTGTGATATGAAATTACCAAATCAGAAGAGAATTTATGAGAGGGAAAAAGCAGGTTGTGCTAGGAAGAGGTTTTTGTACCATCCAGCTTTCAACAAATTATTTTTTAAGGTCATCATGAGAGATGATAATTGAATGGTCTTGAAACAGGACTGATGATGTTATTCATAGATCCATGATGATCCATACGAATCAAAACTGCAAGAGCTTGCACCTCTTTATCTTTCAAACAGCTTTTTGATATTCTTTTACCCTTTTTATAGCTTTTCTTGCTGCAAGTAATTTGCAAAATGAAACTCAAAAACTGCATCTCTTATCTTTCATGCAACACGTTGTTATTCTTTTGCCCTTTCTATAGCTTTTCTTGCTGCAAGTAATTTGCAAAATGAAACTCAAAACTGCATCTCTTATCTTTCATGCAACACTCTGTTATTCTTTTGCCCTTTCTATAGCTAATCTTGCATATTATAAAGTCTATCTGGGTATTTGATCTGTGCTCCTAAAACCAAAATGTATCCTTATATATGTACATGTATGTGTAAAGCCATGTACATGTAGTTGTTGTATGTAACTTTAATGCATCGTCTCTGCCCACAACCGTGTTAAACGCAGCGCACTTTAGACGATCTGACTACGATCTGATTTTAGAAAAATTTGTGATAGCATTTTATATGAACATGCAAACATGTAAAATCTTATATGACCAAGGATCTGAAAGGTAATATGATAAAGAAAATCAAAATTTTTAAAGGATTTCATGCTACTTTGAAAGAGGAACATCTAAATGAGCTCAGAATCGTACTGAGTCTGACTAGAAGAGTTGAATGCCCTGAAATTTTGGTTGTCAATATTCTAATCATTATTTAGAAGCTTCACCAGGAAGACGATGTTTGTTTAGATTTCCTATCCAAAACAATTGCTATTTCTACGAAAGTTGGATCATAGTCAGATAGTATATAGTGTGTGGTGGGCTCAAAGCCCCACTGCACTACTTATAGCTACTTGCACCCTCTATATAGCAAGCAATTCCTAAGCGGTGACAGTTGGTCCCCCATGGTGCCCTTTTTCGTATGTTAATTGAGAGCTGATTTGAGAAGATACATTGTAACCACCTGTTGGTGACCATGCAGCGAGGTCTAATCCCTCCTTGCCTAACTAGTGCAGATAGGCTTTAAAGGGATCAGAATAATCATCGAATCGTAATGAACTTCATTCTCAAACAATGATGTACATGAACCCCTTTCATTAGTATCAGAGATTCACTATATTTGATGAAAGTGTAAATATTGTACATTACAAAGTCCAATCGATGTACATTTCACATAAAACTATCATTGTTTATTTTCATGAAGCTTTAATATGAAATGTGTTCCAGATGTGTTTTTTCTTCAATATTATCATATTTTTTTTTTAAAATCTTGAATTGGTGAAATTTGTGAGGTTTTTTTAATGCTGAATTGTGATCAACATCTCTCTGTGCCAAAAAGAAGAAGACTGCAGTGTTTTTTGTTGTTGTGTGTTTTGGTTTTGCATTGTTTCTAAGTGTGTCATTTACAAAATTATCACACTTACCGGTAAGCAATTTAGAAAATTGAAAAAATATGTCCTCTCAACAAGTGAATTAATCATACCCCTTGTTTGTTTGGGGTTGTTGTTGTTTTTTTTTGGGGGGGGGGGGGAGGGGGGAGGGGGTGGGAGTTGTTATGTAACTTAAGAATAAATGGTAGATTGGTTGAATAAAGGCCTTTGTTGTATACTTTTAGATGCAACCTTTTAATATGTCACATTCTCAATAAACATAAATCGAGACACACTTATTTTTTTACATTCCTAAAAACCACAAACTTGGTAAGGGTATGAATGATTTAGTTGCTAACTGTATCTTCGCAGACAATCTTATTACAGATTTATTATCAAAATGTTATACTCGTCAAAATATATTCTCTGTCAGGCAGTACCAAGTGCTGTATTCTTATGAAGGCTAAGCCACGATCATCTTTCTAGCCGAATTAAACCAGCTTTTCTAAAGTGTCTGTAGACGAGTATAGTAAAATCTTTACAAAGAACGACCCTTCTTCCAACAAAAGGTGATAGGATTATAGGTTTTATGGGGTTTTAATCATAATTGTAAACTCAATATTTTGTTTTATTGTCTTTTTTGTTGCCTTTATCAAATCTAGATATGGAAATGTGTTCCAAAGATGTGCAATGTTTAATAGTTATGATTATATATGTTATGTAATTGTTTCCCTGCCAGTCTCGCACATTTCACTAAAGGCAGGGAGAGGTATGACGTTCCAACATGCCGTGTCAACATGAAACACGAACAAATGTTTCCTCACTTTTAAGCATTTTCATATTCTGCAACTTCTTACCGGTACTCTATGAAATCTTAGTAGAAAACAAAGCTGGTTGTAACTAAATTCATGAAGTTACCAATTTGTGTTTTGGGATCAATGAAAAGCTTAAAGCTTCATAACATTATCCAATATCTGATTTTTGTACTCAAACTTTTACAAACATTTTTCTTCTGTATTTCGTCTATTCTTAAAACCAACTCACTTTATGGAAAGACTTCCCCTTTTAATAAGGAGATATGAGTAGCATTAATTTGGTTTCATGGGCAGGTTGAATGTTTTGATGTGTACATGGCGATCAAGGTTTGAGAAAAAATGTTTGGACAAAAAAATTAAAAAACATCTGCAATAAGAGCCCCCCCCCCCCCAAATTAATGACTAATTAAAAAAATGATTCAAAATGTGAAATAATATGTATTTGTGATACTTTACCAGGTTAAGCGTGCTAGTGCCCTTAAGCATGAGTACTAAAGCAATACTTCATGTATTTTGAAGGTTATGGAGATATTTTGCTTTTGAAAGGCCGTGCTGTTGCTCTTATTTTTAAAGTTTGTAGCTTCTCCACTTATGGATTTATCAATATCATACACCGAAGACCTTCCTTTTCCTTGTTGTTCAGTTCCCTTTTCAATTTCACTTAAATTAGCAGCAGTTATTATATTATTAGGAGTTGTTATTAGGAGTATTAATGCATTACTTTTAAATTTCATTCAGCATTTATTTTACCCACCCCTCTCCCACCTTTCATATTCTATTTTTATTGTTGTTATTAACGATGATAACAATGTTAATGTTGATAATAATAAGATTAATGATAGTAATAAAAACAATGATAATAAATATAGTGATAATGATAATACAAAATTTTAATACTATTCCAGACTAATATAATTCTTAAGTACATCATTCCGCAATGTCTCTCGGCGCTTTACAAACATATTCCTTCTAGCATTCATTTTAATGTATTTACCCTTATAATATCAAACATATAAATGCCATGTATAAAACCAATGGCAGTTTTAGCAATTAAGGTACCCGGTAGTGCTTTTCCACTGTCATGCCTTTAGAGTAAAAAATTCCTGCTAATGCATGAGCATGGTGATTGGCTGCTCATATGTACCATGTGTTATAGCAATTAGTGTAAAGTCCCTTTTGACGGCACATTCATTTCTGGTGGCAAATTTGTCGATGGTTCATGCCAAGAAATCCCTCATTATGCCATGCAATGTCGACTTTACATATGATATACATTAAGTGGGCACTTCCATCCTATTACCATGTGTGCTCCACTAATTTTGTATGTTACATGTGTTAGAAATTTTCAGTTACTTTTGTTTTTCAATACCGTAGATTAGTATTATATAACATCATCTGAGCAGCAGCGAACTAATTTGATTGGCATATTTGAGACTCTTTTTACTGGGACTGCTGGGGGTGTTTCACAAAGATCCTAAGTTGAACTTATCTCTAAGTTTGACTTAACAATTATGGAAAGCTGTTAGCATCTACGAAAATATTTTGTAACAGTTATTTTAAAAGGCATAAAATGTTGATTCAAATCTTTCATATTTTCTGTTATCAAGGAGATTTCATGTTCTTGATGTGGAATTTATAAAAAGTACTTGATTTTTCGCTTTTGTTCATTTTAAGGCTACAAATGGCTCTCCATAATTTCCTATTGATACCTGAACTGGCTTTTGTAAAATTCCTAAAAAGACATTTAAAATAAAAAAATATATTATTTTCCTTTGTCCACACGCATGGTGCTTGTGCGCCATCTATTTGCAAGACTCTTTCAAGTTACTTTTAGCAGAAGTGGAGTAAGATTGATCCTTACTACTTAACTTGAAATTGGTAGCACGAGCATTCCCATCATTTGTCAAACTTTTTTGGGAACGCGTAAGGTTGGTCCAGCTACCAAAAGTTTTATATTTCAATTAACTTCATTTGAAATGATAATAACAATTGGCAAAAGATTTGTTTTACTAGTTACTACTAAAGCTATCGTGGTAAGAATTAACAAACCAGAGGCATGCATTGGGACCTTGAGTCTTAATGTGATGAGTATAGCACAAAATAGAATGTTATCATTTTTCTTACATGTGTATTTTCTGTTGTCGAGATTACATAGAGAAAATTAGAACAAACACTTTTCATAAAGAAGAGACAAACTGAAATGACACTGCATACATGTTGCAGCACCAAGGGAAGTAAATTGGCCAAAATAATTCTTCCAGTCGACTGAAACTTCATATTTAGTTATGAAACTATGATGCTTTAATGTGAATCTCATTTCATGCTTAAAGATAAAGGAAAGGAAAATTCTTTTACTTTCCCTCTCTGCTTTAAACTTTATGTCTCTACCGACGTTTATTATCAAAGCATGTTGGGATATACGCGATATTGTTATTTTGAACCATTGTGTAACTGTAATTACATTCTACTTTGTACATTCATGTAACTCTATTTATAATCTTTACAATTATCATTACTATATATCATAATATGTTGATATATTATCTGTCTTCTATGTTATCCATATGTGTATGTGGAGAGAATGAATTTAAAAGAATAAAGATTCATGTGAAATATTCTACATTCTAACTCGTCATACTGTTCTTCTTCCGACTCTTCAATGATCTCAATTTCCTGAAGCATTTTAGACTTAACTGGATTAAAGGGATCGTTTAACAATGTTAAATCTGAGATGCACGCCCCTACGTGTTATCAGTGTCTTTGGTATGGTGTTATATTGAAGCCCTAAAAAAATTGTGCTTCAAAATGATCAAGAAGTGCCTCAAAAAGTTAAAAACCTTTGAGTGACCGGTTTTACAATACCGGTACTTGTTTTCCCCAATAGACTGTAGTGTCATTTATGAAAACCGTTTGGCAAACACAAAATTTTATTTCGATTTTCAATCACAAATATCTTGATAATCAGGCGATCGGCTTATGGGTACGTTCCTGACTGACCTAAAGGTTTATAATTATCATTGCAGCAAGGGCTAAATCAAGGATTTTATTAAAGGATCTAAGACAAAGTAACCGGATCCCTTTAAAACATAATAGGGCAAATACAATCCCTCCTCCTAAAATATATTCAGGGTTCAACCCATGTCGCTTATCATGCTTATAAGTTATAATAATAAATAATGTAATTTATGACTGTCTTGCATCAAAATTCAGCCATGCTCACTTTTAATCACTTCAATTATATCTTATTTAACATTGAATACAATGCAGTTGCATGGATTGTTCTTTTATTTTGTTAACTCGTCAGAGGCCACGGTCATGTTCAAGCATTTACGCTTACGACATGTGGTCTCCTGCTTTTTCCTTTTGTATGAAACTTTTATTTTAACTAGAAACAAATTTTGTCAAACTTACATGTTATTCATCATATTTATTTGTATGTTTCTTTGTATTGATATGAAAAGTGGAAATAAAACAAAACAAACAAACAAACAAACAAAAGTACAGCAGTAATATTTTCAGGCCAGTAAAAAAAAGTAGGCCTAATTGTAAAGCCAACATGACGCCCTAAGTGACACCCTCAATAACTTCCTTAATGACATTCTCGACAGAAAACAAGTTACTCTTCATCATGAAATAGACTTCAAGGTCACATAGTGATAGGTCATAAGGATTTAAAAGCTACCAAAGTTGGGTAAACTCCCGGGGGTAAACTTTTTGTTTAACGCACTGTAGAGATAAAATATGATTTCTATGCAATATGTGAAATATATGTACATGCTGCCCTCTCTGACGAAGCATGTTTAGTGTTGACCGCCATGCTAAATGCATTATACATGTACTCTACATAAACCATCTACCATATACGACAGGGGCAAACTCATCGCTTATTTCCGCCTGAATTGGGTGTGTAACCTTAGGAGCATACCAGAGCTTGTTTGGATTTCTCTGTGCATTTTGAGATATTTAGAGACTGCCTACAACGGAAGACTATCACTTTATGGTACGTTTTTAAAACTTAATTTGTTGTTAATTTTACGTTAAAATAAAATGTTAATTTGGAATCCAGTCAGCGATGTTCGTATTGACCCAATCCCCGCTGTTTCAGCACACGTACCGGGCGCGGGCCGTGCGCGATATCGACAGCTAGCAGTAAGCAGCTAGCAGTAAGCAGCTAGTTGCAGCTCCCACGTCCACTATCAATATCAGAACTATTTCCTAGGCCTAGATTCTATAATAAGTCGAGTAAATATATAGGCGTAGAGCCTTTTAGAGGATTTCTGTGTGCTACATGTACCTGATCATTGCTATTGAGCGCAGAGCCAGAAGTATGAGAAAGCTTAGACCGAAAGCTTCAGTCTCTATAATCGTCGGTTGTTCCACTGAGACTACGTCTGGCTCCACTAGACCTCCGGTTATAGAGACTGAACGACTGCCTATGCCAGCCTGTGTTGAACTTATTCCGCTAGATTTTAGCCGCTAGGCCCCTCCCACAAACTTGCCACGGCCGTATTGTTATGCCCCCAAAATCCCCCAAAATGTCATTTTACCTCGTTCATTTCCAATTTTAAATTAGGCCTAGGCTATAATACATCGGTTCCACTTACTAACTTTATTGATATAATCCGTTTAATGGTCCCTTTTAAGGAAATTATCGGTCAAAATCGACATCCATGTTGAAAATCTTGCAAGCCGTGTTAAACTCTCGCTGCCGTCAATCTCATCCCTTCTAGTCTACGCCGAAGGCAAAATGATTATGAAGGATAAACTGTGCGCCATCTACACGTTCGTAATGGCGTTATCACAGTTTTTTCCTTCATAATCATTTTGCCTTCGGCGTAGACTAGAAGGGATGAGATTGACGGCAGCGAGAGTTTAACACGGCTTGCAAGATTTTCAACATGGATGTCGATTTTGACCGATAATTTCCTTAAAAGGGACCATTAAACGGATTATATCAATAAAGTTAGTAAGTGGAACCGATGTATTATAGCCTAGGCCTAATTTAAAATTGGAAATGAACGAGGTAAAATGACATTTTGGGGGATTTTGGGGGCATAACAATACGGCCGTGGCAAGTTTGTGGGAGGGGCCTAGCGGCTAAAATCTAGCGGAATAAGTTCAACACAGGCTGGCATAGGCAGTCGTTCAGTCTCTATAACCGGAGGTCTAGTGGAGCCAGACGTAGTCTCAGTGGAACAACCGACGATTATAGAGACTGAAGCTTTCGGTCTAGAGAAAGCTATGTTAGAATTTGACATCAAATTAAATAACCGTCTGGACTCTGTCTATGGCATTGGGAGTTGTTCATAATAAACTGACACCCAACCTTTGCCCCATACACAGAATATCGGATGGTAACACTGTCAGTGTCATGATTTGTCACTGGCCTGCAGACCAGTCAGTGCTAGTCAGTAGAGGCGCTTGTCCAAGAAAAAGGATCGTCTGCATAAACGAGGATCGTCTTCGTAAACGTGGACAGACGCGTGCGCTAAAATAAGTCGTCCAGAATTTTGCAGACATTGCATATTTCTGATCCGCGCGTTGGCGATGCGAAAAACGGATTCCGTGATGATTTTCTTGATGCACTTTAGGTGCAGACTCTGTACAGAGATTTTCACATTATGAGCGATAAATCCCTGAGAAGATGGACAACCATATTAAGGAGAGGTGAACTGGGGTTATTTTCGTAAACAAAATCCATTTTTCACATCACCAGCGCACAGTTGGAGAACTTGAAAGACACAGAGCGACGATGAAAAAAAGTCTGCGAAAATGCGGATGATCCTTAATTTTGGGGAAGCAATTTGTCCCTGTTTACGAGGATATCCTCGGTTATGCGGACGATCCTCTTTCTCGGACCAGCGCCCCAATTGCTCATCATTACAAAGGCCAAAGCACTTTGAAATCGGTCAAGAAATGACAAGAATTAAAAATTTTATAGAGGAGTGTTAAAGATTTGCTTACCTTCCACACGTTCCTGATGATGATGATTTTTTTTAAATGCGGGCCCCCATCTTGGATTATAATGCATGCCTACATTGTAATCCAAGATGGTGGCCCGCATGTTTTGCCTCTTCTCTTAGACCAATATTATTAATTTCAAAGTCATGAAAAGGCACTAAATATCAACAAACATGGTCTACAACAACTCCAAATGACAAAATAATCCCAGCCATGAATTTTTTTTGGTCGATCTTCAGATCCGATACCGATCAAAGGTGTGAGGGTCTTCCGATCCGATCAGAGCCCCAACTTACAGGGTTAGCCAGTGTACAAGGTTTCTCTGGTGCTGGAAAGGGTGATTACGAACGCATTTCAGGTTTTGTTTAGATCACTCTTCACGCTGGAGTATGGGTGCTGATTAAGGCTAGGTAATGTAGATCTTCAACAGTTCTACACATGTGCATGTAGATAACCCTGTATTAAACCAATGATTTGATGGGAGGGCAGATCATCGACCGATTAGGTGAAATCAGAAAATAAATTCTGGATGAAAATGATCGGATAAAAAAAAGGAAAAAATCAAATCAAAGAAAAGAAAAATCAAGTCCCCAACCTACAGGGTTGCATGTACATGTACATGTAATGTACGTGTAGTATGAAGCACATTAGCACAGACAAGCTCTCCATCTCTGACTCTGTATACTGTATTTGCCGGCGATAAGGCCACAGCACCACGTATGCCGCACACCCAACTTTGACATTTCAAAGAGGGAAAGAAAAAACGAAAGGAAAAAAAAAAAACGGACCAAACAAAATAATCATAATTTTCTTGTAGAACACTATTTTTTTTTACAAACTGATACCAAATTCATCAATATTCTTATAAATTACCGAAAGTTTAGCTAAAAAGTGATCGCAGGCAGATTTGGTATTCGATATGTTGTATACCCCTACCACAATGTACGGTGTAATGCAAAATTGCATGAAATGGATACAAAGATCAGAAAATAGACCCAGTGCGACTTCGGCTGGATGTGCAATTGCGGTCGCGGCAGCTCCGTAACGGTCCCTTCTTTTGCTTTTTATCAATGCATTGGCACTAACTTAGAGCAAGATCTATCGGCAGATGTTGTTTTAGGAAGGTTATTTTCGTCTTCATGCCAACAATGAAAGATAAAATTGTCGGTAAGATGTGTGGAAATGTCCTGTTCCATAGTGGTATAGTTATTGTAGTCCCATATGTACAAATCTGTGCTGTTTTTCTTGGTTTTGACTTGCAATTTTTTTTTAATTACTCTTTTGCCGCAAAGGCCGCACCCCAACGTTTTAATATTTTCTCTTCCAAAAATACTGCGGCCTTTACGCCGGCAAATACGGTAGATAAATAGGTGGTCAGTGGAACCAGTCGTGGTTTCTGCAGAACAACCGTCAATATAAGAGATATAAGCTTTTGGTCTAAAGTAGTTCTAACTGTTAGTTGCTGTTAGATCTACAATGTAGCCTTAGATCCAATTACAGTTAATTGCTTTACAAGTGTTGTTATTAGTGTGTACCAAAACAAAATAAAGGAAACTTGATTTTCTGTGGCAACAAGATCTAAGTTAGAAATCAAATTTGTCTTTATAAGCTTTTTTTAATGCTAAAAATAAACTTTTTTTTAAGCTTATTTGTTTTCCCCTTTTTTGTATAATTATTTTTTTTCAGCACTGAGAAGTGCAGCAGGCAGACAGATAGAAGATAGCGGTACATTAAATACAACATGTTACGTAAAGGAAATACAAAAGGTATTTGAAATAGACATCAAAAATACATGTTCAAGTGAGAAGTTAACTGTACAGCGTAAATTAGATGTATTACTTAATAGATTGGAATAGAAGGATACAGCAAAAAAGTATATAAGAGTTACCGGTAGTAATGCATTGACAACTTTAGTATACAACGAGAAGAAGTTATAAGAAGGATTTAAAGGACAAAAAGTTGTGAAAAGGGACACCGTCAATAAAACTAAAATGAAACCCATGATTTGAAGTTTGGAAGAGAAATTTGATTTAAATTCAACATTGGAGTTATTTTTTTAATGTTTACTGTTTGAAACATATATACATGTAGTTTGGAACATGAAGTTTGACACATTCTTTACATGTCATGTTTCAAAATAACAGACAGTACATTTAAATTACCCAGGTCCTCTGCTAGAAGAAGAGAAATATATCCTCATCAACTGGCAAGAGGCGGGGTCACAAACAAAAGAACAGTAAAAAATACCACAACAAATGTAATACAGTACAGGAACAGTAGACAAACAGACAAATACAAAATCAAAAACAAAATAATATACAGTACATGTACATGTACATTTGTACATTGTATAATGAGAAATGAGAGCAAATATTTGCTGGTAGTGTAGTGTACAATGCACATTGAAGGTCCATCCACATTTACAAATAGACGTACACAAACTACAAATAGATTTACATACATGTGCTTGTACTACTCTGTGTACATTGTAGGTGTAGAATGACAGTTAGAATAGGAAAAGGCAAAAAATGCCAGAGTCCTTGAATCAGGAGTGTGCAATGAAATTGAATTTGCATCCATTTCCTGAGCCCAAATGAATACAATTGTCACCTCGCTTGCTGTGCTGGGTTGGTTCGGCTACGATTTCCTGTTTAGGAAATGCATGCTTAACCCATTGGATGCCGTTTTCATTTTTTGTGTGCCCTGTTCAATGGATGTTGTCCAAAGACGGTGTTTGTGGGGTTAAACCAGAGGCAGGAGGGAGAGTTTAGGAAGGCATTCTGCATTTTGCATGGGTAACTAACGAGCTACACGTACTGCATACAGTGTATCATGGTCCGTGGAACAGGGGGAGAGGAGGAGGGGGAGGGGGCGCTGGGCTGTTGAGGCTGCAGCCTCTCCATTTAAAAAAAATTCAATACATGCCATAATTTGTACGTTAAACATTTTGGCTGTAGGATGCTCTAAAATGCATAGTTTCAGTATTCCAGTATTCGCCCATTCGCTCCATCTTCTAAAGCACTGCATTATTAATTGCAA